AATCACCCAGTTACGTTGTGACGTTTGGTAGTACCCAAAGTGTTCCTCCGGTAAACGGGAGTTGCATAATCTCATAGTCATAGGAACATGTATAAGTCATGAAGAAAGCAATAGCAACATACTAAACGATCGGGTGCTAAGCTAATGGAATGGGTCATGTCAATCAGATCATTCTACTAATGATGTGACCTCGTTAATCAAATAACAACTCATTGTTCATGGTTAGGAAACATAACCATCTTTGATTAACGAGCTAGTCAAGTAGAGGCATACTAGTGACACTCTGTTTGTCTATGTATTCACACATGTATTATGTTTCCGGTAAATACAATTCTAGCATGAATAATAAACATTTATCATGATTATAAGGAAATAAATAATAACTTTATTATTGCCTCTAGGGCATATTTCCTTCAGACTCTACATTTTTGTTTAAATGATCCAAGATCACATTGAGTCCATAGGAAAGCCAATACTATTAAAAGGGAATGATGTGTTGCTTAATGATCTTCTTGCTTAAAGTGCTTAGTGATATTGCTCCAAAACCCTCAGCTACTTTCTCTATCCAAATATGTCCAAAAGCTAATTCCCAACTCAGGCCCACAAATATTTCCTATCCGGAGCCACCGAGTTCATCTTGACATAGCCACTGCCAAAACCCTAATAGTTCGGTCATACCGATATGGATCTCGGTCTCACCGAGATGGCCTTGCCAGCGCTTTGTCGCTTATTGCATTCACTTCGGTCCCATCGAGTTGGCTTGACTGATTCTCTGTTGCTCATTGCACTCAATTCGGTCTCACTGAGTTGATGCAATTGGTGCCACCGAGTTGAAGTTTTCCCTAAGCCCTAGCACATCGATCCCACCGAGTTGTTCCCGTCGGTCCCAGTGAGATTCCTAACGTTCATATTTTTGTACAGATCGGTGCCACCGAGTTTTCTTATCGGTGCCACCGAGATGGGTCAAAAGTGTGTAACGATTAGATCTTGTGTGGAGGCTATATATACCCCTCCACCCCCTTCTTCTCATAAGAGAGAGACATCAGAATGTGTCTACACTTCCACCATTCATTTTCTGAGGGAGAACCACCTACTCATGTGTTGATATCAAGAGATTCCATTCCTACCATTTGAACCTTGATTTCCAGCCTTCCCCAAGCTGCTTTCCACGCAGATCCTTCTTCTACCATAGCCAAATCTGTGAGAGAGAGTTGAGTGTTGGGGAGACTATCATTTGAAGCACAAGAGCAAGGAGTTCATCATCAACACACCATCTAGTACCTTTTGGAGAGTGGTGTTTCCTAGATTGGTTAGGTGTCGCTTGGGAGCCTCCGACATGATGTGGAGTTGAACCAAGAAGTTTGTAAGGGCAAGAAGATCGCCTACTTCGTGAAGATCTACCCGAGTGAGGCAAGTCCTTCGTGGAAGATGGCCATGGTGGGATAGATAAGGTTGCTTCTTCGTGGACCCTTCGTGGTTGGAGCCCTCCGTGGACTCGCGCAACCGTTACCCTTCATGGGTTGAAGTCTCCATCAACGTGGACGTATGATAGGACCACCTATCGGAACCACGCCAAAAATCTTCATGTCTCCATTGCGTTTGCCTTCTCCAAACCCTTCCCTTTACCTTCATATGCAATGTTTTACTTTCCGCTGCTATACTCTTAGAATTGCATGTGTAGGTTGATTGCTTGACTTGTCATAATTGCTAAAATCTGCCTACAACTAAAATTGGGAAAAGGAAAGATTTTTATTTGGTCAAGTAGCCTAAGCACCCCCCCCCCCTCTAGACATACGATTCGATCCTACAACGTCCTCACTGTTGGGTGTGGCACGCTCCCTACGAGCAGACGTCGACTACCTGCAAAACTAGGCGCCATGACCCAAGAACCGCCACCAGAAGGGCAAAGCCCCACCACCCCGTTGCACAACACTACGAGAGCCACCAGAACATCACGTCATCATTGTTGCGAAGCCGCACTGAAAGTGCATTGACACTCAAATACTATTTTGGTGTTGATAACAATTGGATTAACGAGATCTAATGTTGGTTGTCAAGTTTATCTCAGGACACTGGTATCTCGTATGTGTATCCGGACTTCGGTGACCCGTTGTTGTAGTGAATTGTTCGTCAGGGGCGCTATGTACACTGAGCGGATGAGTCCAAGACGATGACTTTCTCGGGTTGTCCAAGTCCTGCCGCCCACCTTTCAACTCTTTTAGGCAATCAAAGGTGGTTGGTGCGCCAACAAGGAGAACTCATTTGGAGTTGTTGCTCTTTGGAGACGGTCGGCGTTGGTCGGGACATGGTTTTGTTGGTCAGTCTAGGACAGACCCTTATGCATTGGAGTCGAAGTTGTATTGTGTGTGTTTTAGTTTGAGTGGTGTTTGCTACTCACCGGCGTATGGTGGGAGCTTGCTTGAGTTCTTGTATTTTACCCTCTGTCTTTTATAAGACTAAGGCACACATTGCATGTTCTCAAAAAAATTTGGAATAGAGGCACTAGTATTTATTTTGAGCAGAAATGAGCTCAAACCTTCGATCCAAAGAAAGTTTTGGAGGCAAGATATCCACACAAATTAGGAAGCATAATTCCAACCCAAACAGCTAGACTAATGTGGTTTATACTAGTGGGCGGAGGCACGGCGCGCCTATCGTGAAGCATGTGTGTGTGGCTGCTTTGTTTTTCTCATAGAAGAAAAGAAGACATGGGGTAAGCAAGCTGGCAGCTGGTAATGTATAAGTCAATTTAACTTCGATAAATACCAAAAGGTACCATAAAACAGTTCACATATGGTTACATACACTTAGCTATATATTTAAAATGTTCCAGCCAAAGATGTTTCCAACCAAGATAGTTGAAGTCTGAAAATCGCCTGGTGCAACCAAAAGTTGAACAAAACAGCTTTTCTTCGAACCGAAGGAAAATTGCTCCAATATAGATTTTAAAGATCACATTTTACAGATAATACCCCATCCTACAATAGATGAAAATTTATATTATCGAACGAAGCAAGATACACAAGAAGCAAAAACAACAACAAAACGTGAATTAGAAAATAGGAAGGACTAACCTTTAGACAAATGTCAACTCTTTTAGGCTCAGTGTCGGCAGCCCAGTCAAAAAACCAAGAATGTCATTGTTTTCTGTTATGCATATAATTTTTAGCTCACAATAGAGCAAAAATCGAACGAACATACTCTAGTAAAAAGATAGAACCTTTGGCATTACAGTGCACTGACGATTTCTTTATACATGATATTTTAAGTAGTGTCTGTTGCAACCCGTAACCCTTATTTCGTGAAAAATAGCATGCATGATCAGCCCAATTAGAGATGCATTTCTTCCGCAAAAAAAATTAGAGATGCATTATCAGTCAACTCAAGCCTAATTCTCACAACCTAATATGGAACTAACCTGGATACTCTAAGACACATATATTCGTTAATTTGCTTATCCTACGGAGTCCTGCAAAAAAGGTTGCTAGGTATTGCATCATAATTAACCTAAATTTATAAAGAATGTAGAATGAGAAAAAATTGCTACCGTTTGTACTATTCACAGTGTTATAGGGGTAGGGGGTGTGTGCATGTTCACATGGGTGAGTGTAACTGTGTTGGCGCTGGTGCTCGTATTTTCCTGTATTTATTTGAGGCTCTTCGGATAGCGCTATAGGGGTAGAGTGTGTGTGGGTGCATTGAGTGTATGTGAGCATCTATGTTGTAATGTATTGGCACCGGTGCTCCCACTTTGCCGGATTTATTTATTTCTCGGTGGTGATATTCATTTAGTGGGAGGAGATGTCCCCTTCGACCACGAAAGCACGTCCACTAACTTTGTCGATCTCAGTATGTAGTGTCGGCTCAGTATCTTAAAGGTTCTTATAAACATAGCGTGTGCATGTATGCATTTATAGGGATAACTCTATGTGTGTATATATGAGCGTCTGCGTTGTACTGTATTAAAAAACAGTATCTAACACAAAAAGAAAAACCTAATAGTGAGTTAAATAAAAACAAACACGTATCAGGCAAGGAAGCACTCAAGGCAAAGTACTCAAATGCATGAGAGTGGAGCTAGCTTAGCAGCTTAATTCTTTTATATATATTCATGATGAACCACCAAGACCAGTATCATTTTGAAGGAATTGCGCCAAGCATGCATGGGGCCATTTTTAATCAGTGACAGACTTAGAGTGAACTACTTCCCTTGTCAGGGAATCACTCCCAAAAGGGCCCCCCCATCCCATCCATCCTTGCAAGTCAATCAATAACTTAATAGTTGTTCCTACATCCAAATCCAAACACCTGGACATACACCAAGGTGAAGCCTGGTTGGTTGGACCAAACTGCTGAAACTAGCTAGGAAAACCCCCTTCGGTAGTACTACCTGTTACCATCAGCAACAGTATAAAGACTTTGGATTTCAGACTTCTCTGCAATTTCTTGAATTGGGTTTGCTTCCTATGAATATTGACTCAATTTGGTAGCACACCTTTCTTGCAATCTTCATTTGGTTGGAAAATGTCGTTCCGACTTTTGACCGGTTCGATTCAACACCGAAAACCCGGTCAAATTACGCAAAGAACGGTGGTTGTTGTTTTGGTGCGTTGGTCCTATGAGGCACTAGCACGACGACTTTCCGACTCTCTACTATGATGAGTTTTGCCCAGCTCGATGAGGGAGGGCCGATGACGATGGCGTGCCTTCGGCTCGCTTCAATGCTTGTAGTCGTCGTTAGGTGGTCTACGGATCTGGATGCAATTTTTATTATTTTTGTTGCTCGTTATACTGTCATGATTGAAGATGAATAGATTGAAAGTTTTTTGAAAAAAAAAATCGAACCGGTCCCAGATCAAATCAAAAGAAGAAGTGCGGAGAGGTTAAGCAAAGTACGCGAGGTGCATGGAATAGTATACAAGTTGTTCTCTTGCTTCACTCCTCCCCTTCCCCTCCCTTTGGAAAAATCTATCTTCCCCACCCCTCCAAGAAACCAAACCATGCAAATACGCAGGTCATCTCTCTCGCTACATCTTCTCAATTCTCATGCATGCATGAGCAGCATGGCGACCATGCGATGCCTCAGGCCAGGCGGCGCTCGCCGCCGGCAGTGCCCTCTCCTCAACGCCTTCTGCTCCTCGCTCGTCGACGGGCTCGCGCACCTGGAGGCCACGCTGTCCGCCGAAGATGACGACGGCGGCGGCGGGTCCGCGGTGTCCATGAGGTGGTGCGCGGACGCCATGCGCCTGGTGAGGCGGATGCAGCGGGACCTGCTGGCCGTCTTCAGGAGCGCCGACGCGCCGGCCGACCCCTGCGGCGGCGAGGACTGGCTGGAGCAGTACATGCAGGAGACGGCGGCGCTGCTGGACTTCTGCAACGCGTTCAAGTCCGCTGTGTCGCGGATGCACCGCTACTGCATGGTGGTGGACTTCGCCGCGCAGGTGGGCTGCGCCGGCGCCGGAGGTGTCGCCGCCTCGCTCGTCGCCGAGAGCGTCGGGGCGCCGAAGGAGACTGACGCGCCGTCGTCACCGGCCGCCGCCGTCCGCGCTAAGCTGTCGGACGTGAAGGCAGTGGTGAGCGAGGCGGAGCGGCTGGGGGGAAAGATCATCTCCAGCTCCAGCGGCAGCGGCAGCATGGTCCTCGTCACGCTCGTCGCCAAGATCACAATGGCCGTCGTGGCCACCTCCGTGCTCCACGCGCTCACCCACGCCTCACCCCCTTCCCTCCTCGACGACGACGTCGGCGTCGGCGGCGCGCACCCGCGCAGCTGCACGCTCGCCCGCGCCGCCGTCCCAGAGCAGCTGCGTCCGTGGCGCGAGTCGCTGTCGGCGATCAACGACCGTGTGGCGGCGCTGCCGGCGAGCATCGCGGAGCACGAGAGTGTCGTCACGGCGGTGAGGGACATGATGGGCGGCAAGACGGAAGGATCAGAGGATCACGTGGAGCTGCTGAGGACGAGGTCCGGCGAGCTCCGGGAGGGGGTGGAGATGTTCGACTGTGTTCTTGATCAAGTCTTTGATGAGGTGATCAGGGGCAGGAACGAGATGCTGGGGATCTTCAGAGACAAGCTCCTCACATAACTGAATTGGGGTGAATTTTAATTACCTCTGGATTTTAATCCCGTGTAAAAATTTGGTGATGTTTGTAATGTTGGATTTGATGATCCTATAAATTGCTAATTCATCGATCAGCTGAAATTTCTATATCTTTTTTCCTTCTTTGTAAAGGGTGTAGAAGTTGTAGCGTGTGGTTTTATGTGTTTGCATTTCAATCTGGTTTGTAACTTGTATTGACAGTGTCCCGGGACTGATCAATAAAGCAAATGACACTTCATTTATTCTTCCACGAGTTAAATAGCTTCAAGCCTGCAACCAGCAAGAGCACATATGCCTTGTTTTTTCTTGAAGCAACATATTGTTTATTGCGCATTCAACACAAAAAAATGTGCTACTTAAAAATATCAGACAAAATTAGGTCCAGTTTGAGGGAAATGAGTTTCCGGAATCAAACATAACACATCAAATCTGAAGATTCCAAAAGTTCAGGCAAAAATCACTAATTTCCTATCCTGGAGAGAATTACAGAGTGCAGCATCCCGTCATAATATTACATTTCACTAGACCATTTTGGATTACATGAGAATACACCATATGATGGTACACAGAGCCTGGCCGGCTCTAGGAGTTCATGCGCAGCCAGACCGTTTCTTTCCCAAAAGAATGAACAAAACTTCACGGCAAGCAACACGAACTTATGAAACCAAACAGCTAGCATTTCCTAACCCGCCTTTGTCGAGTACAAAAAGAACGGCGGAACTAATCTGCAGGATCATGATGTACATGCGATCGCTTGCGGCCATCCATTCAGCATCGACTCCCTGGCCGGACATAGATGTTGACAGTGGTTGAACTTCGTGAGCTGTACCAAAGGTATAATCCTTGTGCTATCTCTGCTTTCTCTCTAAACCCACCCTTTGAAAATCTCTTTGTTATCTTGTTAGCTGTCCACTGCTATGTCTCTCTTCCGATCGATGATGAAATAGTTTTGCCATTGATCGTCTCTCACAATCCTGAAAATTTATAGGATTAATGATTAAACTAAAACGGATATGTCGTATAAATCCTAGCTATGATGGTTAACCGCACCCACCTTAAACATATTGAGGCGAAACGACTTCTTAGGATTCATTCTTCTAAGCTTCAAGTATGTATATGCAAAGCTGAGCTGGTCACGAGGTGTGAAGCGATCAACCTCATTGAACCACAGACAAGAGAATAAGTTGGACATCGGTGTGTGTTCCCTCACGATGAAAGAACCTTCAGGGACATCTGTAACAAGAGGAAAAAGAATTCTTAGGTCAACACAATTCATACACTAGAACTAATACCAGCAGGTAAGAGAACATACAGCTTGGTAGCAGCTTGTGGGGATCCGATGAGTTGAACCTTGTCAGTCCGTCAGCTTGGTAAAACTCAAACTGTTGATCAATTATTGTATGATTGAACTTGTTCAGCTTTTTATTTTGTGCCACTTCCTCCCATACGCAGTGTCGATCATAGTGATTGGAAATAGCATATTCATAACCATGCCGCCAAAGAAAATATTCTAGGATAAGGATAGGATCTGTTTGTAGTCGCAATTTGCTGTCCAGCCAGATCGAGAATCTGATACAAGTGAAGTTCTTAGACAAACCATATTGCAGAACAGGATGGTTCATCACATTAAAGATGTAAAACTAAAGCACAAGCCCCACACTGATTATCTGACAAAGCACATTTACCTTTTCATACTGTGACTTACAAAAAGCACGATAATACATTAGCAGAAAAAAACATACTACATATTTACAATTTATGCTACAGATTAAAAAACGTACTACATGTTTACAAGATTATATATTTTTACCGAACTGAAGTGCTGATCGGCGTGTCAGAAAAAAACATGGTAGTTCAGGGTCTTTTCTCTTTTGTAAAACATATTTTAAATGGGTGATCAAGTTCGCAGCAAATCGGACAGCTGGTATGATTCCAAAGTGGATGACTGTCACCACCAATTGGTTTCTTCAGAGTATAAGAAAGATACCGGAGAGAAGACCACACACAATCTCTGGGTATAAAGAAAGCTATTGTTCCAGTGTCAATGAAGAGAACAAACCATGGGAAACAGGCATTTTGTGCCAGTGTTCGCACTGCTATTGGACAGGAAGAGAACAAACCAGAAACAGAAAACCAATTATTCATCAAACACAGGTCTGCGTATTCAAGACAGCGACACTGACACTATCAAGTTTTAGAAACCAAGATGGATTACTACTCTGAGCAAAGATATAAGCAGACAAGCACACAATACAGATGGGGATGGGATGAGTCCCCGGTGTGGGCAGTATTGCCTGGAACAAATACCCAAGTCCCAGGATATACAGGGGGAGTGGAGAAGGGTTCAAAATTCTGTACTGAAACTACTGGACCTATGGTGTCACTGACTGGTTCTCAGCCAATTATGCTGTTAACCAATAATTTTCCAGAGCTGTCTGACTACCCATTTGATAAAAATTACAGCAACCACAGATAAGTAGCCACAGTATTTGTGTTCAATTAACTAGAAATATCATCTTTTTCGAATCGGTACATGGTGACAACATCATCCTTTCTCATAAACCTCTAATTATGCAGTTTTATGCTAGCATACCGACCATCCAATATTCTGAATCAAACAGCAAATAGGATGCCACAAATTAAATTTGATATTGAAATTTGGATTTCAATAACTTTGGATAGTATGTACTGTTACTTGTCCCAATAAGGATCGGGACAACTGGCTCCCTGGTGCAAAATAACCTTTGATTAATTTGTGAAAAAACTAACACATAATGAACCAGTGTGTGTTGAGCAAAAGGTAAGACTTTTTTGGGAGATGACAAGGTTATGATTTGCCAATGGGGAAATAGCATGCATAACACTAAAAACTACAGTTGAGTCCTTAACTGAAATACATGCATGGCAATCAGGACACAAGATATTATGCAGAAACTCGCTCTTACCTTGACGATGGGAAAAGTCGATGCGCCAAAAGTTTTGGTATTTTCCCAACCCTCCGCATGTCATTATAAGGCATATTCTTAATCAATATGATCTTCCATACACCAATGAAACCCATGTTGTCCATTTTTTGGCCTTCAGATAGCAAAGTTTGCAATGTGACTTCATCCAAAAACATAGCAAAACAAACTGTCTTCTTTGAGAGACTTGTAATCTGCAAAGATATCACAGAAAGACATTTCATATGGATAATACAGGATATTTTATGTTGCGACATAGCAAAAGAAAAGGTTGGGAATTGTTTACGTTTGGAGTGTGGTTATGGTGATTTTAGAAAAATGTGAAAAATGAGTTTTTAATCTTGTATCACATATCAACATTAAAGGACTTAGCGAAATCATTATACTATTGATGGAGATGTGATTGCATTTCATAGACCTGTTATCTAAGGTTTTCTTGTGTCTGTATGTGAAACTAATCAGCAGTAAAAATACTGCTTTAACTTTGACAAGTACCTAGAGGCTATAACAGTAAAGCGAAGCTAATGAGATCCTAAACGTTCTGCAAGAAACCATACCAAGAACAAAGGAACCTACAGAAACAAATTGTTATAAGCTGCTTATTGCAACTTATACAGGATGGAGGAATCACAGTAAAAGTGTAAATTTCTCAAAGAGTTATGTGCCAAGAAATGTCATACTGTTTTGCCAAATGGAGTCCTCAGACGATCAGAGTTTCCAAAGATGCAGGAAGATACAGCGATGCGGCATTTGCTCATGTACTTCCTGTCATCCTCAGATATATCAAAACCAGTGCTTGATCCATTAGGCCCCTTAACAAAAGCACATGTCAGTTGTTGGTCATGAGCTACGTATGACTCCTCCCTTTCCTGTAGAGTCTGGTGGCCAGCAAATCTTGGCTCCCAATTTTCTGATCCAGCTGGTTTTTGTTCAATCTCTACATATTCCAACTTAAAGCTAGCAAATTTTTCATTTTTTGCAGGCTCTACAAGTTGAGCAGTGGAGTTCAGGAACTTCATTTCACAAGTTGAACCTGGTTAATATGTTCCAACTAATTAGGTAACCGTCAAGAACAGAGGCTAAATATTTTATGAGTAGATAATAAAGACATGAAACAAGCTTGATTGCAAAAAAAGTGTCATATTTGATATCAACAGAACTTATGGTACAACAAATTATCAAGCTAGAGGATACCCTGCGTGTTGCTGTGGGAATTGGTTGATGAATATTTAGGTTATCACATGAGAACCAAAATGAAAAATACATATGATTTATCATATTTGATTATGTATAGTTGCAAAAATATTTATTGAATGTAAGTATAATAATTGAATGGGAAACATTTTTCCATGCATGGTTGAATGTTGTGGTGGCTCTTTTCCCATGCATAATTCCATGTTGAGGCGGGCTTTATCCCAATCATAATTGTATGGTGAGGTGGGATGCTTGCATGTTGAGATAAATAAGTTAGTGGGGACGACTCTCTTAGGTATATAGGATAGAGCAAAGGTACTGATAGACCTAATAATAAAGCTCACAGATACTGATTTTGACTTGCATAATAAATAATACAGCAAATATATCATGATACCATTGTGTGCTAACATTTTCAGTTAATTCACCAGGACCTGGTCATCTAACATCGGTACCATATCTTCGATTCTTAAATCCAACAGCAAACTATGAAGATGTTATGCCACAAGCCTATCAGTTGGCAGTCTAACATGCTCAAGACATCCAATATTACGGCCATGTCATGCATGTCGTAATATTTAGGTAGCCAGTGGGTACAATATGCATGCTCATATTTTATTCATGACTCAACACTTAAATAGTCACTGCATACAGTACACATCTTATACATGCTAACAGCGTCTCCTATTAGATTCTTACAATCAAATCTCATGTTTCTAAAAAAATAATGATCTCACTACAGCAGAAAAATAGCACGCATATATATAGCTACTTAGCTAGCTGGATTACCTCATAAAGCTATTACGATAGTAATAACAAAAATCTTATGTTATTTTAAGTGAACGGGATCAAAATTCCACCAATTCAGGGAAGAAAAACATGATCCTAAATTCAAATTGCCCGACTCTAGCTTTCAAACTTGAAAAGGGAGAATAACTCACCAGACTTTTTACGCTTTGGTTTCTTCTTGGACCCATGTTTCTTATCACCAGTACCCGAAGCTTTCTTTTGATCCGTGTTAACAGCATCACCGCCATCACTAATCCTTCCACCTGCTTTCATGTGTCTCTCCAAGGCAGCACTCTCTTCCTTCCCTATGTTCTCATGAATACCATCACCAAGCTTCCTACCGGCAGAATGCATCTGAGAATCATCGGGATCATCAATGCCATCATCATACTCATCATCTGGATCAACCTCCCTCATCCCCGTGCCCACCACTCCCATGGAAGCCGCCTCATACTGCTCCAGCTCTTTCCTGCCACCCTCATTGTACAAGGTGCCTCCTTTCCCCCCTTCAGCCAACTCTGGAACCTCCTTGTCAGCACCACCCCTGGTATCCAAGGTCAACCCTTTCTCCTCAATACCGGGATCAGAGCTCACGCTTTTCTCACTGCCACCACGAGCATCAGCAGTGTTTCCACCTGCACCGAAGACCTTCTCCTTCTCGTCCTCCGAGTAGTCTTCGTCGCGCCGTCGATCGTCCTGGTCCCAGTACCTGGAATCCCGCGCACTCCTGCCACCACCGCCATGGCCGAACTTGAGCTCCTTCCAGTTCTTGCTCCGGTTCCACTCCGGCAAACCCTCCCCGCCACCCGAATCCTCTCCGATCTCTGCAAAACAGTACGAACATGTTGTGCATTAAGACAACCGAACTAACAGATAACCAGATCAACCGAACAGAATTTGGATCCCATTCGCATCCAGCCACGCCATGGACGATCCCAAGAGCGTCAAAGATGCCATTTTCTCTCTCCCCTCTCACTCTCTCCTGTCGAAGCAACAAGAACACCGAGCGGAGCGCCTCAACCCATCCCCAGAGAAACCACCGTGCCGGGAGTGTGAAACCACGAACCTGCGGGGTCGCGAGAGAGGCGGCGCGAGAGGATGAAGACGCCAGCGAGGAGCAGGACTGCAGCGGCAGCTGCGGCAACGGCCGGCGAGCGGCGGCGCGCGGGTTTGCCGGGGCGGCGGATCCGGGAGGGTTTGGAGGGGTGTGCCCGGTGGTAGTCCGGGAGCGGGTGGTGGGCCCCGCCGCCACGGGAGTCGAAGAAGCCACCGCCGGATTGCCTGTACTGCGCCATCAAGCAGAGGCGGTGCTACTGCTGGTGCTCGGCCACCACCATGGACGGGACGGAGGACGGTGGGTGGGGGGAAGCGGACCGGAGTGAAACGGAGGGGCTTTTCTGTAATTTGATCGGGATGGTTGGAGGAGTTGGTTAGTTTGCACGTGATGGTGATGGGGTTAGGAGAAGAGATATCTCTCTCCCTCAGACTGCGAGGTTGGTGAGATGGGAGTGATCAGAGATGAGAGCCGACATGTTAGGCATAGAGCGGGATATTTCTATCAAATAACGTGTTCTTTTTCTTTTTCTTTTTCTTTTGATTGAAAAAGGTCAAATGCCATGTACTTTTTTTGTTTGCTCATAAATAATTTGGATTGCTTACCATATACTCCCTCCGTCCGAAAGTACTTGTCATCAAATTGGACAAAAAGAGATGTATCTAGAACTAAAATACATCTAGATACATCCCCTTTTATTCATTTTGATGACAAGTATTTTCGGACGGAGGGAGTATGTCACATGGTAAATGTCATGTACTTAACTAGCACAAATGACAAATCCTTACAAAAAAGAACACGCTGACAATTTTTTTAATACAATCAAATTTCTGGGGTGTCGAAGTTTTTTTCCTCCTGCATCCATCGGTAATCTCCTTTTGAAATGATGCAAAGGCCAGGGGTTACAGCCTCCTTTTCGGGGGAAAGGAAAAAAATCGGCGACATGTCGTGAGGAAAGCTCGCTGTCGTCTTTAGACCTCTGTTGCAGCGGAGTAAACTTGTTTAAACCTAGGAGATTGTAGGAGTGGTGAAAGGAAAGTCATCAATGTATACTGGAAGACATTAGTGGCCATGATCTGCGTAGGAAATCGCCACGCGGGAGATGAAAAATATGGAGAGGGCACGTAGAAACCCCTTGGACTTGGAGAACACAAACCTCACACGCTCTTCGACGAGGCCAAGACAAGCCAATCTTCGCCCGTCAAAACTTGAGCCGAAGGACCAAGACAACAACATTGTGTGCTCCATGGAATAAAGCGACCGAGCCAAACCTACATAAAAAATGCCATGCCCGACGAGACAGACCTAAGGACACACCATATTTCACGCACCTCCTAGTGATGCGAGGAAGCATCACCGGGACAAGGGCGAGGTGGGAATATCTTATCACACGCCGACAGCGACACCATCATCTTGACACCGCCGAATGGCTACCTATCTAATGCTCCAAGAGGAGAAAAGCATGACTCACAAGGTAGATCGGGTCTCCCCACACCCCACGGAAGATCCCCCGATGAGGATGAGGTCGATGATGCACCAGTGGAGGAGGATGACATCGGAGCAAAACCCTGGATCGCCTTTGGTAGGGGTTGCGTCCCTTGAATAAATAATGTGTTCTTAGTGTATAAATTTCATTAAACAAAACCAAAATAGGTATATAAAAACTTTAAGATATACTTTGCATGACATTCAACTCATAGTCAGTTGATCAAATTAATGATTTAGAAATGGGTGTGCCTAGCGCTCAGGCGGCTGAGATTTAGTTACAATCCTTTCATTTGGGCTCTTATTCTCAATGGTGTGCAAGGTGAACATAATGACATCACGAAGCAAGTCATCAAGATAAAACTCAAGGCTCAATCTTTGTGGCATCCTATTCAATGCACTATGTCCCAAAAGAATCACAAAATCAGTCACTTGGAGAATGTAAAAGAGAATTGGGATACTTTAGTTGAGATTCACAAAGGTGTTGATGAAGGAAATATGCCCTTGAGGCAATAATAAAGTTGATATTTTATATTTTCTTATTCATGATAAAGGTTTATTATTTATGCTAGAGTTGTATTGATCGGAAACTTAAATACATGTGAATACATAAACAAATACCGTGTCCCTAGTAAGCCTCTACTAGACAAGCTCGTTGATCAAAGATGGTTAAGGTTTTCTAACCATAGACATGTGTTGTCATTTGATAATGGGATCACATCATTAGGAGAATGATGTGATGGACAAGACCCATCTGTTAGCTTAGCGTATGATCGTTCAGTTTATTGCTACTACTTTTTTGAATGTCAAATACATGTTCCTTCGACCATGAGATCATGCAACTCCCGAATACCGGAGGAATACCTTGTGTGCTATCAAACGTCACAACGTAGCTGGGTGGTCATAAAGATGCTCTACAGGTATCTTCGAAGGTGTTTGTTGACTTGGCATGGATCGAGATTGTAATTTGTCACTCCGAGTATCGGAGAGGTATCTCTGGGCCCTCTCGGTCATACACATCATAATAAGCTTAGAAGCAAATAACTAAGGAGTTAGTTACGAGATGATGTATTACGGAACGAGTAAAGATACTTGCCGGTAACGATATTGGAATAGGTATGAAGATACCAACGATCGAATCTCGGGCAAGTAACATACCGACAGACAAAGGGAATTGTGTATGTTGTCATAACGGTTTGACCAATAAAGATATTCATAGAATATGTAGGAACCAATATGGGCATCCAGGTTCCGCTATTGGTTATCGACCGGAGAGGTGTCTCGGTCATGTCTACATAGTTCTCAAACCCATAGGGTCTGCACACTTAACATTCGTTGACGATATAATGTTATATGAGTTATATGATTTGGTGACCGAATGTTGTTCGGAGTCCCGGATGAGATCATGGACATGACGAGGAGCTCCAGAATGGTCCAGAGGTAAAGATTGATATATAGGACGATGATATTCGGACACCGAAAGAGTTTCGGAGTCACCAGGTAGTCATCAGATCACCAGAAGGGGTTTCGGGCACCCCCGGGAGGTCTATGGGCCTAATGGGCAAAGGAAGGCACACACAAGCCCACAAGGGGGCTGGCGCGCCCTCTCCCTGGCCGCCAGCCCTAGGGGAAGGAAAGGGGGAGGGTTGGCCCCTCTTGCCTTTCCCTCCTCATGAGAGAAAGGAAAGGGGGGCACCACCTCCCCCTGCCTTCCTCCCGCACGCATACATGGCAGGGGGGCGGCTAGGGCAGGAGCCCAAGTGGGATTCGGCCCCACTTGGGGTGCCTCCTGGCTGCCTTCCCTCCCCCCACCTATATCACTACAAAAAAATACACTTCCGTGATGATACGTGTTTGTCACAGTAGGTCACGTTTTCTGTCATCCATGTACATCCATGACGATTTTATGATAGAATCAAGATAGTCATACCTGTGCTGTCGTAGAAGTGTTCCATGACATTACCAAAATTATCATCATGGAAGTGTCCACTTCCATGACGATAAATCGCGCGTCATAGAAGTGCTTTCGTCAAGGGTGACCGACACGTGGCATCCACTATAACGGAATGTTGTTAAGCTATCGGGTCCGGTTTTGAATCCGATAGCCCGTTAACAACACCGACCAATGGGAATTTTCCACGTGTAAAATCATCATTGGCTGGAGGAAACACGTGTCGGCTCACTGTTGGGACAGATGTCATCCACTCATTGGACCGAAGGCGCCTATGATACGTCAACACGTGGCACGGCCCAACAGAGGCCCATTCTTGTGAAAAGGCCGACCCGTTTGACTTGGTCAAAAGGTGGCGGGTCGGCCCACGGAAAGCCTATTAACGGCCTGTTCGCATATAGCTCATTTACAGCCCGCTAACCCAGGGCCCGTTAGGACCTATCCGAATTAGGCCCAGTAGCGTCATTTGGGCCGTCCAATATGATTCCAGCCCGTTTTAACTTCCGGCCCATGTATGGCCCATGACGTCTTTCGGCCCATATGAGGCCCTTTGTAACTCTTGGCCCATTAACGACCCGTGGTGAAACTGACCCGTAATGAACAATGTATCACTTTATACCCATTAACGGCACGTGGTGAAACTGGCCCGTAATGAACAGTGTGTCACTTTATACCCATTAACGGCCCATTATTCCGTTGGGCCGTTTCCAGCCCATGTTATCTTTCGGCCTTCTCAAGGCCATTTATTCTTGGGCTCATTTCCAGCATTTATTTACTTACGGCCCGTTACTGTCATTTTTTGCTTGTGGGCCAAATTCAGCCCGTGGTTACAGTCGGCCCGTTTGTGGCCCATTAATACGTTGGGCCGTTTTCATAGCGTCATCAAATACGGCCGATTAACAATGGCTCATTATGGTCGGCCCATGAACGGACGATTCCAACTCTAGCCCGTTTATGACCATAATGCGGTCTGTTATTGTCCCATGTTTGGCCAACCGATCATACGACCCGTAGAAGGCCCATTGTGTCCATGGGCCGTAGAAGGCCCATTGCTTCTACGCCCCATAGAAGGCCCATTGTTTCTATGGCCCTTAGAAGGCCCATTGTTTCTATGACCCGTAGGAGGCCCATGGTAACTACAGTAAATATGTAGCCCATAGTTATTGTGGCCTAGTTTTAAAAAATAGGTTATTGCGGCCACTAGCAAAACGCGGAAAAAGAACTGCATTGACTACAAGCAAACAAATAAACATGACAATAAGGAAATAAATAAGCAAGCAACTTATGCTAGGCTATCACAGCTATTACACATATTACATCCACTGGGCATCAAAGTTCGCCACCAGTGCAAATATAGGGAACAAAGCAGCATATAAACGCCGCAGCAAAACAAGTCTAGAACTGAAACCACTTCAGAAGAGCTCAAGAAACAATATCCTGGGTACCCATAATGCTGGCAAGATGCTTAGCAAGATTATTAACTTTCTCTTGTTTGGCACTTAAATCCTCCAGCACTTGTTGTTGCACCAGAAAGTATGCATCTGAATTCTGCAGGGACTTCCTCAGTCCTTCGGCTTCCTGTCGCATAACATCTAATTGATGTCTTTCAACTTGAAGTTGAGACTCAAGAAGCCGAACTGATTCAGGCAGCGAGTTCGAAGAGCTAGTGCTAACAGTAGTAGCCAGTAACTCGAACACTACATAAGACAGGACTTTGGGGTTGTCTCAGTGTCTACAATATAGTTTTTATCAGCTTTCTTGGAGACCAATAGGGATGGCTCACTATCTTGAACCTTATCTGCATT